CAGAGAGAGTGGGTAGAATGCTGTGCGTGCTTGCTGATGTCAAGTTTTGTCTCGTACAGGGCAGGGCGGCTCTGGGTCTGTTGGGATTGGCGTCACGGTTGGTACTTTCCATTTGAGGTAAAACACTACATTAAGAAGACATTTCCTCAAAAGCGATCATCGGCATCGTCCTAGTCGTGTTGCCAACCGTTGCGCGATCGCCCCTGTCGCGGGGTCTTACGAAGTGTATTTTTGCGTTGCCTGGCTCTGGGAGATAGTTCTTTGTCTGTGACACCAGTTTCCGGCCCTCTCCCGGCGCTTGTACACACACTCTTCCTGCACAGGTTTTGAAGCACACCACGTGCGACTATCCGTACCCTTCACGCGTGCCCTGATTTCGGTGTGGCTAGGTTGCGCGTTTGGAACCGCCGGGGATCTATCTTGTGCTGCGACTGTGGTTCTTCTTTTAAGCATCTCTTGTCGGAAAAGCACCGCAGGTGAGGTTCAAATTTCGTTGTTTCATTTCTGATCGTGCCACGCGTTTGGCACGATACGCGCCTTCATTGCCACTGGACTGACCTCGGAAAGCTTTCTACCCTTTGCTGAGTCTGGGACAACCAAAAACCTTGAGCTTGGTTTGTTTTTGCTGCTCCCACCGCTCTCGCATTAGCATCAGACTACTAGTTGTGCCCTGCGTGCCGAAAAGGGTTGTCAACGTCTTGGTCTGGCAGGTAAATGCGCTTTTCCTACGCTTGTTCGTGCCATTTGTAGATTTTAAAAGTGTGCCAGAACGTGCCGCGAAAGCAGTCTCGCTTTGCATGTTTTTCTCCGACTAGTCTTGCATTTCCTTTTGCATTTGTGAGATAACCATCCAGAAGTTGCCTTGCTTTGTCCAACGAACTCTCTCCGAGGCCGACTCTTCCCAACCCTCAGAGAGGCGAGACAAATATAGAACACCCCAGGTGTGGCGACACCACACCACCCCTCGCAATCTAGACTTCAGTGGGTTGACGCTGTTGGCAAAGCGCTGTAAAACACGCCACCCCAAATATAGCCCCCATAGTATGCGCTACCAAAGACGCGTGACGCATGGATGCGTGGAGTGAGGATTGCTTACGAAAACCTCACAGGTTGAGTGATGTAGGAGATTGCCGGACACATAGACGTGTTGAGTGATTATAGCTGTATACTGAAACCCCACGGAAAGGGGAGGTTTGAGATTGCCAGACACATAGACGGGTTGCGTGGGGATAGCTGCTGGAACCCCACGGGTTGAGTGATGTTGGAGTGCCGGACACATAGACGCGTTGAATGAGGAT